TGGAATCTGATATGAAAGTGATCTTCACAGTAATGAACACTTCTTAAGCAGCAGAGAAAATATAGCTTAAAGAAAAAAAAAAAATTCAGGCCTGTATGGGATTAGAACCCACAACCACTGAGATACCGGTGCAGTGCTCTACCAACTATACTAACAAGCCAACCAGGAGCAGGTCATCATGATAATATTATTGCAGTCTTTACCCTTCTTTTTTAAGCCCATTCCCCTCTTCCACCTCTCGCATTCTGTACAGTTTCTGACAGGTTTTTTTCTACTTCAAGCTGGATTGTCATTTCCATTCTTATCTGCTACGCATTGCCTTGTAAATTAGTCTTTTGGTGGTGTTAAGTCAAGATAACAACTTCTAAGCTTAACCCTTTAACTCCCAAGATCTCATGAGTAATTCTCCTTACTGTCTGCCATACAGTTCTTGTGATGTTAGTTTTGAGAATTTGGTATTGGATCAACTAAAAATGCTCTAATTGATATTTTTCTTTTTCTCATTACTTGTCTGCTTGATATTGTATTGGTATCGTAAGGAGAAATTCTGTCTTGGTCACTTGTGGGAGTTCAAGGGCTAATAGGCCATTTTACAGTTGAGTTCTCAGCTGCCAAGCCTTTGATTTAGAGTGCGGCTGAAGGTGACCTGGTTGTGATAGAGACCAGTATCTAGTCAGCATGATAACAAAGTAATTTGCATTTGAAAAGCAGCAAGGTTTGTATCCTAAAAAGGTCAACCTTAACCTCACTCCTGTTCAAAGGCTTGGCAACCAAGCACACAGCTGCAAAATGGACTATTATTCTCATTACCTGTATGCTGGATTATGCATGGATATTCTTTGGAGAAGTTACATTTTCATCACTTATAGGATTTAAGGCCCAAAAGACAATACAACATATGAGATCAGGAATTGAATTCTGACCTCAAAAACCAGAATTGCAAATTTTCCTCCATGTTTAGCCAAGTTAAGTGAGCCACAATTTGTACAACATAAATTTAGAATAAAGAAATTGAATAATACCTGGTTGATCATCACTGTCTTCACCTCCTTCATCCTCATCAAGGTTAAATGACAATGCGGAGGTTTGTTTCAGTTTTATTTTTTTCTGTTTCTTTTTAGAGGATTCACTGCATAGAGGGGGAAACAATGATTGAATTCATTTGTAGGATAGAAAATTAAACAATTGCATATCCGATGCATTTCCAGAGAATTTCAAAGTTTAGTTGATAGATAACTGAATTTAAGGTCTCTTTACAGCACCTTACTGACCAATTTTTTTTTTCATCAGGTTTGAAAGATCTCCATAATAAACTTTTTTTCATTTCTTCTAGTCCTGTTACATTTAAAAATGTATCACATTCAAGAAATTTTGGCAAATTTCATTATCAAGTTATACCCTTAATAAATAATAACATCATTAATGACCAATCAATGAGTTGATAAATCATTTATGATAAATGATGAAAGTACATGAACTGTATTTGAACAAACCTTTCAGTTTCATCTGATTTAAGCTTTGCAGCCAGCTGCTTTTCATGCTCTCGAACAAGATCCTCTTGCTTGGCTCTCATTTGATCCAGGGTCACCAATCCTTAAAAATAATAATAATAATAATTTAAAAAAAAAAACATCTATTTACCCTTTAACAATTTAACTCCCAGATAAAATTTGCAATTCTCCTTACTGTCAACCATACAATTCTTGTAATGTTAGTTCAGAGAATTAAGTATTGGATCAACTAGTTATCCCCGTATTGTTAGTTTTCTTTATTCTCATCACTTGTCTGGTTGATATTGTATTGATAGTGTAAGGAGAAATTATGTCTTCGTCACTCATGAGAGTTAAAGGGTTAACCCTAAAAGTGACTAGCATCTAGTTTCTTCTAACAATATCACTTCTGAATCAAACATCAAAGTCACTACAAAAAAGGAAATTATCACCAATGAAGCTCTTGATTGATTAACAAGTTCTCCTCGTCAGCACCTTAGGAAATGTATTGAGAACAGTACGGAGAATATGCATACTGATGTTAGGGTGTAAAGGCTTAAGGATAAGCTAAGTGATTGCATCATTTGTTGCCAAGTGTTATAGTTTACTGTACTCCGCATTAAAACAATAGCGTTTTTCACACTCAGAAGTTTCTAAAACAGTTGTTTGAAAAAATATCATGTTTTCAGTGATGGATGCCTTCCTAATGTGTCATTGGTCTGCTTCTGCTTAAAAGGTAAAAAAAGAAAAATTGAGATGGTGGCTTTTGTTACCGTGATAAGGTGACCTTTACAGTTGAACTGCAGTTATGGATAAAGAAATTAGAGCCTCCATAACTCATTTCTGATTCTAGTCTGCATAAGTATAAATGCAATAGTCATAAATAGTGCAATCTAATTAGCTATGCTTCGTGTTATTGTGCTAAGTGCCCGTGAGCAGCAAAACAACCAAAATTACAAGCAAAAATAAGCTTGTCTAGCTATGAAATTTTAAGCGACTACTACATTCATAATTTTTGGCCAATATTAGCTCATTAGTGCTCGATTCTGTGAGAAAAATCTGGAGCTCTCAATCTAATTGTTTAATAACCCGTCAACCACAGGCTTGCACAGGTCCAACCAAATCAGGTACTGAAATGATTTTCACGTACCGATAGTGCTTGATTTTAGCTGCTGCTCTACCACATCATAATGAGTAGAAAATTTGTTGCTGATGTCGGCGATCTTGTGTTTCTACGATAAAAAGGCAACAACATTAACATTACCACACGTTTATGATTCAAATATCGGTGGGTCAGGAAGTAAATTTTCCTTGAGCAAATGACGCGATGATTACCTCAGATATCTTGTTTTTCGCGGCTTCAATGTCGGCTTTCATTTTTTCTCGCCTTTTCATCAGGGCCATAGCCCTTGCACCTTCCTTTGCAGCACCCTTGTATTCCGCCATTTTGCTTTACTTCCCTAGACAAGACTAGTGCCAGATTTCCGCTGAAGTTTATCATATCAATTGGAGGGGCGACCGCTGTAACGAAGCACAACTTGAGCTTTTTTACCAGGTCCCCGTTGGATAACGCAATCGTTTATTGAATAAATCTCTATCCGATGAACAGCGTATTTATCCCTTGAAGAACAATTTTCCCGTTGGATAGCGTTATCAGCCCTGTGAACAACTGGGCATAGAGGGTGAAATTCTTGGTTTCAGATTTTACACTGTGTTATTTTAAACTCGTCATCATTATCTCTTATGCCGTACTTTCTTGACGATGAATATACGCTGAATCCTGGCTTAATAAGTTTAATATTTTATTAATTATTTTTTATTTTATTATTATTTTTTTTAATCCACACATAAATCATTTATCTCGGAAAGAATACTTAAAGGATACTTCGCACGGGTTTAAAAAACGAACACAATTTGGAGCACAGTCCGATTAAAAAAAAAAAAAAATGGCATTTTAACTACTATAACGATTATCATTTAACTGACAACACAATTACTCGGCACCAGTCCCTCTATTGTCACTCGGCAACTTTACTCTGCTGAAAAGTATTTCATTTGGGACGACCTACCGGTTAGTTAGATGTTTTTCAGCAAATACTTTTACCATGGTCACGAGAGAAAAAGCATCCGTGACAAAATTGATTAAAAAACGGCACCTTTCAAATGTTTTAAAGTAGCTCCGCTTATAACTTTGCAAGCTTCTTTGCAACTTATAAAAGAAAGCTGGCAGGGATATAACCGAGTGATTCAAAGTGAAAATTTCGAACATTCCGTATTCTTCATGGCGATATGAAACCAAGATGCAAAGTATTGGAAATGCTAATTGACGGATTTGTTGGATTCGAAATTTGGAGAGCATTTTTCTTTGTATTTTCTTTTGTCATTCGTTTATTTAAAAAAAAAATGTACACCCCCAACTGTAAAAATTAAACGAATCTCCCCCAATGAGAATAATATGCGCCAAGCAACAACAACCTATTACGCATCCAAGATCGAATTTTAACATCTTACTCAGCTACGCAGTTTAAAGCTATAAAGAAAAAAAAAATAAATAGAAACTGGTGAAAGTTACTTCCGATTTTATCCCGAAACAAGAATACGGCTTTTCATCAATTTCTTTGATAGGTTTTTATTTTATCAGGACTTAGTATTATTTGTTTATTCAACCTCACTCAAACTCACTCTTGGTTATAAAACGCTATTAAAAATTTCTTACAAATTAATAATATGAAAAACTCCACTTTTTTTTCTCTTTTCATCGATAACATCAACCTTAGAATGTATAAACTCCTTTGTCCAACTCTACCTCGCAAAAGGTAGGCATGCATTTTGCTTTTGTTTTGAAGAAACCAAATCAATAAGGGTTCTAAATTTCTTTCATTATCTTAGCATGAAGCCCTAATAAACAATTTAAATATTAGTATTCTAGAAACAGTGTCTACATCCGAATAAGGGAACATTACACGTATAAACTAATTATGGATTTCTAATTCTTATTGGAGCTCAAAGATCTTTTCATTCACTTTCTCTCGAAGTCTTGGGTGACGAACAGGTTGGCTCCAATCAGGTACAAAACTACTCTTTTCAGACTGTTTCATCTCTTTTTATGTTCCCCTTTGATTTTAGAAACTCGCGTGTCAACACAGCCGTCCAATTGCCCGTGGCGTTCTGAATTCCACGCATCGTTAGGGAATAGGCTTTCCTTTCAGAGAGACTTTTTTTTTTTTGCTTTTGTTTTTGCTTTTTTTGTTTTTTTTTGGGGGGAAAACTGCCAAAACAAGTACGGAAATGCCAGTTAATTGTTTTCAGCTCTAGGTAAATTTTGAATTCGATGAGCCCTGTATACTAATCTTTTAAGTACGCATGTGTGCTCAAAGATATGTTCAACTTGTTTACTTTCGAAATTCATTCACCATCAGGTTTTCCTAGGAAAATGGGTAAGAAATAAGTCGAGGGAAAAAGATAAGAAAAAACGTTGATTTTATGTTCATCCTTTTGATTTTACAGTTTTACGAAAAATCTACAGCATGGCTTGTGCGAAGGGGCTGATCATTACCCTCCTTTATTTCTACATGTTTACTGCCATTCTTGGCAAACAGGTAACTGCTCTAGAAAGTTAAGGCATGGAGTTTGCGGCAGAATAGATAGATATGAATATTACTGCTTTTCCTTTAATACTCAACTAATCCAGAAGAAAAGTAACAAGATACCCTGCTTACGGCAACTGCCAATGTAAAACAGTTTCGTATAAACTGAAAACGGAAAGCAAGAGGTTTATTTTTTTTCCGGTACACGCCAAAAACTTCTCGTTTTTCGCTTTTAACCGTTTACACTTTTTGGTAAAATATTCTTACAAAGAACCGGCCTTTATTTGTCGCCTACGGCGGCGGGGGTGGATGGGGGGGGGGGGGGGGTTTTGTTGGGGTCACATGGGTCTCAGGGGAAATGGAGGGGGAATCAGTTATCGCTATGGGGGACTACGGAAAATTGAAAACGCTACAGATTCTTATTGGGGGCATCAGGTAAATGTGACCCAACCAAAATCCTGAAACACCCCCACAAGGTAAAATATTCGTTTAATCTGTGTTCATTGTTTTGTTGGTTTATTTGTTGCTGTTGTTTTTTTGTTTGTTTGTTTTTGGTGATTTAAGGTTTTAGGAAAAAAAGTCAGTAATAATCAAAATTCCCCCCAATCATTTTTCCCTCCACATCAGGAATATTATTGTTTGTAAAACCCTCTCAGGCAAGGTGCTATCGTGGCAACAAATTTAATTAACAGCCTTCAATGGTCGTGCATGAGAACTGGAGCGAAACTCACAGAAGCAAAGATCTATAACAGGAGTCACGGTGTCACACTATGCTGTTAGCGTGACATATAGAGTGACTGATTCATTGCCTAAAGGTTGACTTTGACGAAAAGATTATGCATAAGATTGTGTGACTTATATACTATTTATTTGTTTTTCAGTCTTGTGTGAGTCCCGATGGCCAGGAAGCGTGGGATAAAAATACGAAGCTATACACTTCCGATTGCAGTAAGGAGTGTTCTTGTGTTGGTGAAGGCGAATACTTCTGTGTAGACCTTTGTCCCGTGCAGATTGCCTATTGCAATGTTGGTTACGTTGCGAGGTTCAAAACAATAAAAAAATCAAAAAGAGGAAGAGAATGCCGATGCGATGGTAAGAGGTTGAGCTGAATTAGCAGTAATCTGCAATAGTACTTTAAAAACAAGTCATCATGTTGAGCACTTTTGTAATTCCCTTTCATCATCTGCTTGCAAAGATATTTTTGCCCCGACCTTTTTTGATTATTTATTTATTTATTTTTCAACGAGGATGCGAGCAGAAGAGAGAATATAATTATTTTTGGCGCGCCTTAATGATAATCAACCAAATGACAAAAATTTGGTTTCGTACTTCCAACTTCCTTAGGGACGACTCCTTATTAGTCGCCTGGTGAGAGGGAGGAGGGCTCTGGTATAATTTTTTGGGGTGGGGGGTCACATGCTTTTCAGGGGAAATTGAGGAGGAGCAGTCGTCGCCAACAGAGCATACAAAAGTAGGTCCGTAGAAAATTGACTGCTCATTACCTGCCAAAGAGGGGGGTCATAAGAATATTGAAGTGCCTCATTTGGGGTATCAGGTAATTATTATCATTGAACAAAACAACATCTCAGTTGCTTCGTCTAATATCTCTTGATCATGATCCTGCTTGTTTTGATTTTGTTTGATTTTATTTTTATTTTTACAATTAAAAGAACACAAGAACTGTTTCATATATTGGACTTTTGTTTTTCTATTTTCAGAGTTTGATAAATGCGTCAAAAACAGGATGTGACCACGGTAACAGAACGAAGGTGCTAGCCCTTGGTTCTTCTGAGCGAAAAATACAATTGTAGTCATTAATCAGGGTAAAAGTATTAGTGCTTGTTGAAAGTATTAAAGGGTGTTTCAAATGTTATAGATGTTACAGTGTCTCATGGTGTTTGTCACACAAATCTCCTCTTATTATGAAAATGATTTCAGGAGATGAGATAAACAAAAGCTAATTAAAATTACACCTAAATGTTTTATAATTGATTCATTTTTCTCGACAAAGAGCCATGAATACAGTACGAACCGGCTAACTTGCGCCCGGTCGACTTACCCCCCCCCCCCCCTCTTAACTCGAACTGGATCCAATTTTCCTCGGACTTCGTTTTCCTAGTCATATAATTATTATTAACTTACTCGAACACGGAAACTCGGTTAACTCCAAATCCACGTTAACCCGAATTAATTTTACTTTCCCTTGACTCAGATTAATCCTGGCCTCTCTATCTTGAACCAAAATCATTGGTGGATCAACGTCAAAGTGTCAGAACATAGCTGATTGACACGTCCCTACCTTAAATCGCTATTGATACGAACTAAATTAACGTTCTAAAAAACAAAAAAAATAAACAAAAAATAAAAAAACAACAACAAACAAACAAAACAAAAAGCTCTTAACAAACAAACCAAATGTACATAATGACAGTTGATTGGGCATAGCTGAAATCCAGCACCAATTCCGATAACTCGAATCCTCAAAAACTCTAATCATTTTCCGTTTCACTTGGGAGTTCGAATTCCTGTGCTCGAATAACTTGATTATAAGTTTACGGCAAAAACGTTCCTTTGCGACCAACAGGGCTAGTCTCCAGTCTATTACGCTCTTAACTTTGTTGGCTGTATGAGCAACACCATATTAAAGAGGTCACCCTGTCTAAAGCGGTCGGTTGCTTAAGTCCCGAATTTGTTTTTCAATTAATAACGGTTATTTTCATCTTTATTTAACGGTCACCTGTATTCTATTAGTGGTCGATCATGGCATAAAGTTGCTTAGTGTATCGTTATTTATAATACCTCTAATGTGTGCGTGCGCTAGATCTGGACTTTGTTATAATCAATTATAGTTTTAGCAACAAATCGGCCATTTTACCGCGGCCAAAATTTATCCCATGTAAACTTCGCTGGTTTCTAATAAAACAGCGCACATGAAAAAAATCAATAGTTTTACTGTGTAAGTAAGTCTTACACCTTCACTTTGTCTTCCACCTCTCTGATTTCGTGAATACATCACACCAATAAGAGCCAATCAGATTGCAAGGATCATCAGTGATTTCAAAATGGACGTAAAAAAGCAAATAATCTTAGAAAGTCTACTTTATCTTAAGCAAATTTTCTGCACTGGTCCTTAGGTTCACTATAATCTTCCAGCGATAAAACTCTAAATGACATCGAATATTTCGTTTGCATCGGAAAACTGGCGTTTTGCCAGTTTTACAATGGATCGTGAGCTGAATAATAACTCTAGTATGGAGATTTCTTTATATATAGAAAAGATCGAAGCCTTTTTTTTATTCTTTGTTTCTTAACTAATGACGGGTAACAAGAAAAGCCTGTGTGTCTTTTCAATGGATTTTTTGGTGCTAAGGCAAGCAAAAATTTGTCAATAACATTCAAATGTCGTGCACTGCACACAAAATACTGAAATCCATTTCCCAAATGAATTTAGGCGACGTAACAGACTTTAAAAAAAGGGGAAAAAACGAATATATAAAGAAGGAAAAAAACTAAACAAAAACAAAAAATCAAGGGAGAAGAACATACCATTTGAGGTGACTGGGAACGCCACATCAGTTATATGAAGTTACCATATCTCTTACATTTCCGGAGAGCCGATTTAAACTGTTTGCTCTTTCGGTTCCGTTCCTCGTTTCCTGTTCCTATTTTCCTGTTGGCAGCTCTTCGTTCTCCATTGTCCGCGTTCCGTTCCCCATTCCCTATTTCCCTTTCCTCGTTCTCTATTCCCCGTTACCTGTCAACTGTTCTCCGTTCCTTGTCTCCTGTTTCCTGTTCCCCGTTCCTTGTTCTTCGTTCCCTGTTCCTTGGTTCCTCGGTACCTGTTTCCTGTTCTTTATTGACCGTTCACTGTTCCCCGTTCCCTATTCCCTATTTTCCTTTCCCTATTTTCCTTTCCCTATTTTCCGTTCCCTGTTTTCCGCTTCCTATTTTCCGTTTCCTATTTCCCATTCTCTGTTCCTCCTTCCCTGGTCTCTGTTCGCTGTTCTCTATTTTTCTCTTCCCCGTTCCCTGTTCCCTGTTCCCTGTTCTCTCTTCACCGTTCCCTATTTTCTCTTCCCCTTTTCTCTGTTGCCTGTTCTTTGTTCCCCGTTTTCTATTTTCTCTCCCCCGTTCTCTGTTCCCTGTTCTCTGTTCTCTGTTTCCTGTTCTCGGTTCTCTGTTCTCTGTTCTCTGTTCCCCTTCTCTACGTTCTCCTGCCGGCTCTCTGTTCACCATTCCCCGTGCACCGATCCTTATTCCCTCATTTTTTTTTATTCCCTAAGGTTAAGGGAAATAAAGAAAGACAAACAGGTAGGCAAACATCGCCCTCTTCTGTGGGTGTAGGGCTTCATTGCTGGACTTTTATTTGTTGTTTTATCAAAACCCCACTCCAGACATTCGCATCCTTTCGTCCTAGAAAATGTGGCCAGTTTCGTATTTATTATTTGACTTTTATTTATTTTTAACATGTTAGTTGATTTCTTATACATATTTACTCGTTTCCTATTTTTTCATTTCCTAGATGTATAGTGTTAATTATCCTTAAACTATGCATTTATGCTGTAAGTACTCATTTTTTCCACTAATTCACTTGTCAAGTTGCTATCGGACGTTTTGTCATCTGACAGTGCAATAGGTCAATCACACTCAAAGTTGTAGTTTAAATCGACCAATCACAGCCTCGGTTTCAATCAACGTAGAAACAATAATTCCTATGTCAGTCTTTTAATGCAAATTTTCTCTTTTTGTTATAACTTGGCTATACTTCTCTTCTCGCAAATTGTACTTTTTTATGATTAATTAGTAATAAGACTTCGTGGAGTCCAATTCGGTCTTTAATCACACTCGTGATAACAAAGTATGATTGGAGACCGAATTGGACTCCACTCGGTCCTATTATTATTACTTATTAAGATAAATAAGTAAACAACTTAGCTAATCACATCCTTTTTTCCTGATTTTGTGTATATTCAAATTGATAAAGAGGGGTCATCTAGCTCATCTACAAATCCTTTAGCTGTTAACCCTTTGAACTCTAAGATTGACTTACATCTAATTTCTCGTTACAGTATCACCCCTGAATAAAACAAAAAGGTCACGAGAATAAAGGAAATGATCATCAACTTAAGAACCCTTGACTGTTTAACAAATTCTCCTTGTCAAATCCCTTGGAAATATATCGAGAACAGTACCTGACTGTTTATTTACATAATATAATAATGTTGAGTTGCACAATATGATTAGAATTGCAATCATAATTTCTAACGTGCTTATCTTTTCTTCTTCGACAAAAAACAGAATCCAGCGAACCTCTACAAAAGGTGAAGCGAATCAAGACAAAGAGATAGAAACGATCTAAGCGAAACAAAGTGGTAAAAAACGGCTTCGACATAATCACACAGGAAAAGGCGTGAACTCGTCTTAAACACATGTAAACTAAACCTAAATTGACGCAGAACTAAATCTAAATTAATGGAAATAATCACACAAACCCAAATGAACAAAATTCAAAATGAAACCTTACACATAAAACGTACAAAGCAACCATGTTTAATAATAAATGATCCTTAACGTAATCTGATTCATTCAATTTTCCTACTCTTTTCCTTTAGTTTTTTCATTTTATTTTTATTATTTTTATTTAATGTAGAAGTTGGAGAGTTTAGAGCACTTCCTATTCAAAACTACAGTCAAAGAACCTTTGTGAATGTTCATTTCCCCCACACTAGTTAAATTCAATTTTGTGGGTTAATCTCCCGGAAGGGAAAGATCTGAACCCGTCTGTGTGGTCGTTGGCGACATAACATCTTTAAAGCTCGCCTAAAATCTGGTATTCTCATAGAATACAATATCGGATTCAAAAAAGAGTTTGCGTAAAGCAAGACAATTGAACCACCTTGCAAACGGAAAAGCGCTATTTCAGACAAAGAACTGAAAATGTCAGTAGCAAAATAAAGAGAACTAGTTATAACATAAGGCAGCCACAATAGGAGAGAGAGAGAAGTCGCGGTGAAGAACGCAACGGTCAGTTTCCTTTCCCTATTTGCCGCGCCATGGTGTCGAGGCTGATTTCCAAAGCGAAGCTTGACAAAAATAAAAACGTAAGAGACACAAATAACCAAAAGACAAATGAAGATGAATGAACTCCATGCATAGTAATAATAGTCCCATTTACGTGTATAGTATTGAATCATTATTATCGCACATGAAAAGAGTAGTGCTGTCAACCAGATAGCCACGATAAGAACCCAGTAGACTGACTTTTTGATCGTACGATGTCTGAAGGGCCAAAACGTTGCATTCAGGCGTTCTAGAGAAATAACAGTCATATTCGTTAACGAAACAATAGGAAACCAGAGATGTAAGACCTGTGGTATCTGATACCAAGACAGTGTATTGTACCTCCAAAAGTTACATATCGCTCCAACATTATAGAAGAGGTCGAGTGTAGAAGTTCCCCCGGATATCATGTCTGCAACTGCCAAGTTTATCACCAAGTATGTGGATCGTTTACGAAGATTACGATCTCTACAAAATGCAATCACTGTCAAAGAATTCAGTGTTATTATGGCGACAGACTCAGTCAGACCCACAACCATCCAGGTTATACACTCAGGTGAAGAAGCCATCGGAGAAGTCTTTTTCTGTTCCAAATAGTTGAGAAATGTTAGAAAGTTCCGGCAATGATTTGAGAAAAGATTACTAACCTGTCTTTTATAGTGCGAAAGAGACTAGTCTGACGTAACCTCTACATTTTATTTTTGTAGCCCTTCAGACAACAAAGTTTACCCATAGTCTTACATCCCTCCTTCGGTACGTTGTCTTAAATGTTAACTACGTCCTTTAAAAAAAAAAAAACCCTCTCCGATATGAAGACGACCTTTGTTTCCCTATTGGTCGTGCAGAGCAACTAGTTTGTATAGCTACTTAAGACAGCCATCAAACTGCTTTGGGCAAAGAGATTTTGAACGCTTTTTACGAGTCAAAAATCAGTGACTATTGAGCCCGTAACTTTTCGTTCGCGTAGGCTCATTATTGTAAAAGAAAACTAACATTCTGACCCCAAAGTTCGCCTATTCTCTCACTCAAATTGAAATAATTATTTTTCAGTAAAAAATTGTAGTTGATAGATCTTATTTTTTCAATTTATTTTGCTTTATTTTTAATTCCTGCTTGGAAAATGCCTTTCTATGCTTTTGTTCATTTTGTCGTGTCGCATGGAATTGACCGCTTATTACAGGAATAAGACTTTTTCAAATTCACTGGCTACTTTCTGTGCGAGACATGCGACATAGCCTTTTAGTCATCGACGACGCACCACAATATATTTCATACAAACATGATATGCGTGAACCAATTAGATATGGCCTAGACCATTTAGATGAATGACAGCTCATTTAGTATGGCTCAAAGGTTCCCAGAGAGAGAATTATGTGAATTGAAATTTACGCCCCTTGCTTGTTTTTGCAATGTTTCAACGCTTTTTCTCACCTTTAGCCTTATCGCCGACGCAATTTACGACTTTCTTCTTGGATGGTCGATCCTATTTTTTTTTTTTTTATCCGTCAATAAAGTCGACTTAACCTGCCGGTAAAGACTATGAAAAAAGAAAAAAAAAATGTAATACATGGTCCTTGTAGATTTGGAATTTCTCTTCTCGAGATCAACTAGCGCGAACTCGTGAGACATTGAGCTGAAGACTCGTAGAGAAACCCTATGTCTGCGCCCGCCATGTATTATTCACAAATTATCTTGAATTCAGAAGTGAAGACTGACAATTTATCCAGATGGGATACAGAATTGATAACAAGCGTTGGAAATAAAACACCAACACTTCAAAGATGTTCCTTTGTCCTTTTGTTTCTATGTCGCATGTTGTTATCATTATTATAGTTGTTTTGTAATCAATACCAGTTCCATAGTGAAAGATATCATCGCCATCGTGACTATTATTGTTGTAAACATGTTTATCAGCATTTCTATCGTAGTTCAGAATTGGTCCGCAGAAAAGTTCAAATAGTTTGTTTTTCCACTTCACCTGGATCTGCATACCAGATATCAGCACCACTTTATTTCGCATTTTTCATTTACTGATTAGTTTTCTCAGCCAGATGCGGACGTGTTGATTTCCGTAACTCATAACTCTGAAGCTGGCAATGGATTATGGGCTTCCTCCAAGTCTCGGTCGTCGTTATTTTCATATTTGAACGTTCTCAGTACTAGCGCGTTTCTTTTACTTGTGCGTTTAATTTTTGCTTTTGTTTTGTTCTCCTTTCTAATTTTTTTTTTGGAAAAATGTATTTGAAGTAGTCTTCTTTCATTTTTCCCTTTCTCTTTTACCAATTGAGAGTAAATGATAAAACTAAAATAGAAAGAAAAAAAAGGCTATTCATTTTTGCTCTCCAACAGATGCGCATCTCCATAGATGAACGTAGGCGTAAAAAAATGTTTTTTTATTTATTTTTATTTTTTACAGGGGCTAATAACAAGAAAAGCATATCAAAGGAATTTTTACAAAACGGATATCATTCATCACCTTAAAGTCAAGCGAGTTTCGAAAACTGACACTCTATATCTGAAACTCTTTTCCATCCAAGATATCTGCTGCATTCGCCAATTTACTCCGCTTGTTTATTAGTTTTTCTTTTTCATTTCTGAGATATTCCTGCCACGGAAGACGGTTTTTTTTATCTTTTCAAATTATAATAGTCTTGAATTAAATTAAAAAAAATAAGGAGGGAAAATGTTAGGGAGTCCATGAATGCTCTCCGACTAAGTCTTGTTATTTCCGAATTCTCGTGACACATTCTCATTGGAGCATGTGGGAGTATGAAAAAGATATATGCTAAAAAACATAGGCTAATAACAAGTAGAGCATATCAAACGAATTTGACATAAAATGGTTATCATTTGTTGCCTTTAGTCGTGGTATCATACAAACAGGTGTCGAATATCTGAACCTATTTCTCTTTGACACACATTTTACTTCGATCGGCCGAAGATATCAGCTGTAGCTGCTAATTCAGTCCGCTTTTTCGAGTAGTTTTCCTTTTCATTTTTGATATAATTATGCCACAGAAGGTTTTGATCTCCGCGTAAAAAAAATTGGATATCCTTCAATCTTGAGTGAGGTTTTAAGTTATTTTTATAGTTCAAACAGCCTCAAATGAATCGACCCAAGTAAAAGTGTATCGGACAACCCTCCTCCATCAGAAATTCACCTTAAAATTTAGGGTGAACTCTCTTTTAATTTAGAAACATTAAAATAATTTAAGAGGAATTTGTTAAGAAAATAATCTTCAAAGCTTACCTTATCTCAAATAACTTTCTTAAAAGCGTCCTCAGGTTCTTTATAATCTTCCGCCGATGAAACTCAGAATCGTGCCATCCCCGCCAGGCGCCTGCATGGCAAAATTGGCACTTTATGAGCTGTGCACAGCTGTTTAATAAGAAAAAAGTCGATCGCGAGCTGAATAATAATTAAGAATTAAGAATTTCTGTCTCTAACATACCCTTCGATCGACTAGGCAATAGCGTCGTTTAAAATTTGTCGAACCCATTCAGTTCGGTGATAGATAGGTTACACTTTAGTGATTTCCCCTAGTTTTCCATAGAAAGAAGCAATAAAGACGCCCTGAAGAATTTTGCATGATTCTGTTAACTTCTTTTTAGGAAACAGAGATGTTTTTCGTCTTGTCGCAAGCGAGACAAAAACAAAAACAAAACAAAAAAGAAGAAAAAATCCTGAATCCACATTTACCGACTCAAAACTTACCGTCTTTGTAATTCTATTCAATCTAATTTCAGTTTTTCTGTTTTCATTACTGGTAAAAGTTGCATTAAACAAGTTAAAATTATAAATGTTTTTCAGTATAGAGTAGTTGTCCTTTCAATGTTTTCTTGATGCTAATTTAAGACGTGGTAGCTTTAAGCGTTTTCGCAATAAATTAACAATAACATTCAATTGTCTTGCACTGCACACAAAATTCTGGAATCCACTTCTCTAATGTACTTTAGGAGACATAAAAAGAAAAAAAAACTTTGCAATTACTTAAGAAATACAAAATAGGAACAAGAACAAACAAACAAACGACTGAGGGTGATTAAGGACACCTCGTGACCTGACTGAAGTGACCAAACCTCTCACCTTTCCGAAGAGCCGATTTGTGCCGATGAACTTTGCCAAGAAAATAATCTTCAAAACCTACCGTATCTCAACTCACTTCTTAAAAGTGTCCTCAAATTCTCTATAATCTTCTGGCGATAAAACTCAGAATCGAACATGGCGTTTGCAAAATTGACATTTTGGAAGCTGTGCGCAACCGTTCAACAAGGAAAACGTCGATCGTTATCTGAATAATAATCTTTCTTCACACGTATTCTTTGTTTCTTATTTAATAATATATAGGGTGGCCCACAACTGTCACGGCAAAAGAAATAACCGTGCAGTAAAAGAAAAAGACTCACGGCAAAAAGAATAACCTCGAGGCAAAGGTAAAAGATTACAGTGGCCCGTAACGGTCACCGTATCTTTCCTTGTAAAAGTCAAGTTTTATTTTTCAAAACTAATATTTTTTTT